TTGGGACTTTACCTTTCTATGTCTCTGAAGAATTTTTTATTAGAATCACATTGTGGTTGTAGATTACTTCTGGTAGGATGGTCATTTTCACAATATTCATCCTTCTAATCTACAAGCATGGGCTGTCTTTCCATTTCCTAGTTTTTCTCACGCTTTAGTTTTTCTTTAGTTTACCCAGTTTTTCATGGGACAGGTCTTCTGTTTCATCGGCCAGATTTATTCCTAGGTACTTCTTTTTATGTGTGTGGCTACTGCAGAAGGACTTGCTTCCCTTATCCCAGTCTGTCACTGGCTTATGAGAAGGCTACTGACTTTTATATGCTAATTTTGCATCCTGCCACTTCAATGTCTTCATGAGCTCTTAAGGGTTTCTTGGTGGAGTCCTTTTTCAGGCTTCTTCCATAATGAACCATTTCTTTGGGCAGGAGGGGTATGTCAACTTGTTTCCTACTTGTATCCCTTTTATTTGCTTCCCTTATAATATTGTCCTAGCTAGACTTCAAGCACAATAGTGAGTAGAAATGGAGAAAGCAGACACCCTTGCCTTGTTCTTGATAGTGGCAGGAATGCTTTGAGTCTTTGTTCATTTAGTATGATGTTTGCTGCAGATATGCCAGATACACATTATACTAAGGTGTGCTCCTCCATCCATAGGCTCTTCCTGACTTTTATCAGGAAGGGTTGTTGGATTTTTGTTTTAAGGATTTTTTTTCTGCATCTACCGAGATGGTCATGTGATATCTGCCTTTTAGTCCATTAATGTGTTGAATTACATTTATTGATTTATGTACATTGAACCATCTCTACAATTGCTAGAATAAAGCAAATTCAATCACAACAAATGACCTTTTCGATGTGAAGTTGAATTTCATTTTTGGGAAGTTTATTGAGGATTTTGCATCTTTTTTTCATCAGGGAGGTAGGTCTGTAATTTTCTCTATCGGGCAATGGCTTTATGTGGTATCAAGGAAACACAGACTTCATAAGAGTTTGGAAGCTCCCCTTCCTTTTCTGCTTTATAGAATAACTTGAGTAGTACTGGTATCAGCTCTTTAAAATTCTGGTAGAGTCTGCAGTGAATCCATCTGGTCTTGGGCTTTTTTTCAGTTGGGAGACTTTTTTATTACTACTTCAACCTCATTGCTAGTTATGAATCTGCTCATTATAAGGCTCATTTACCCCATTCTTCTTGTGACCACGACCTACCTAAGCCACCTACTTGGAATGCCCCTCTTGTCACCCGGGCTGCCCATCACCAGTTTATAGTAACTTCCCATAGTCCCTCCTTCTCTCTACCAAGAAAGAGAAGGCAAGAGGATAGGGCAAAACATGTCTTTCTGTAGGATAAGGATTAAAGTTAACATAATCACGTGCTTTTGTGCCACTGTTTCCTGGCTATTCTTTTTTGATTCATGTGTATGAGTGTCCTGACTGCACGCATGTATGTATGTGCACCACATGTGTGCCTGATGCCTGCGGAGGTCAGAAGAGAGTGTTAGATCCCCCCGGAACTGGAGTTTCAGATGGCTGTGAGCCACCATGTGGGTGCTGAAAACTGAACCAGGGTCCTTGTAACTGCTGCTAATCCATCTCTGCTGTTGTTGTTGTTGATTGCTGCTGCTGCTGGGACAACTACCTAAGACAATGTAAAATCAGTTAACATTTGTTTTACCGAGTTCAAGTTTCAGGGCTGTCAAGACAGCTCAGCAGGTAAAAGTGCTTCCCAGACAAGCCTGAGGGTGACATGAGGGAACTGGTTCCCAAATGTCATCCTCTGACTCCTAAATGAAGACCATGGTATGTGTACATTCATGCCCATGCCACCCCCCACACACACACACACCAGTCACAAACCTATACATGCATAAACAATAATCTTGAACTCAGAAGGGAACCTTTTGCAGGGGAAGGAGGAGGAGCAAGAAGATAGCTGTGCCTTATTATGTTCGGGGGACTCCATAACAGTGATTCAGCACACCAGCTTCCTAAGAGGAATTCAACAGAGTTTAGGACCAGAACCTTCTCCCAGGGCCAAACCCAATCAGAATGGAGGATGATAGGAACCAGTGAGGATGTTGAAGAATGAGGCCATGTCTTATGAATAAAGACAGAGAATGGCTTCTATCTAGTCACCGATGACATACAGTTGAGGGGGAGACACACAGGATTTTCCAGATTATCCAGGTAACACCAACTATTCCCTGCTCGTGTGTGGCTGAGGGAGGAACACAGACTTTCTAGAGTGTGCAGATAATGCTTCTCATTACCATTTCCCATGAAGACAGCACTGTATCTTTACTGAGTTCTTCCCACTCCCTCCAACAGACCCATCAATGACAAATGCAACTGTTATGGAATTTCTCACTTAGACAAATGTGAGTAGTATGAAATTGGCATTACTCCATTCTAAACCAGAAGTTTATCTCTCTGCCCTGAATATGGGAAAATGGAAACTCCAGGACAAATAGATTCCCATTCATACAACCTCTGGTTGAGCAAAATGTAAAATAATGGTGCACGCGCGAGCATGCGCACACACACACACACACACACAGATATGAAAGTAGAAGGGGAACTCAGTGAAGAAAGAAAGGGGTCTATAAGTTAGGGGCAGGAATAGGAAAGGCCACTGAGAAAGACAATTGCTGTTTAAGTTTTCTCTTAGATGAGGACCCCAGATTACACATATATATGTGACACTGAATGAAGAAAGAGAACTGTCTGGGAAGGGAGAAGATACCAGAAGTTGGGGGGCAAGAGAGGGCATTGAGGGTGAATAGAAGCAACGTATAACAAGTATGTATGAAAAGATCATAATGAAACGATTTTGTATGCCAAAAAAATTAAAGTTAAAAAATAATGAAATACTAGTTTCAGGACTATGATTCATTAATAATACATTTCTTTAATTTAAATAAAACACCTTCGGTTTCAAAACACATACATTGAGTAAATCTTTACAAGAACCTTGAAATGTCAATAAAATGGTCACCTCCTTTTTACAGCTGGCCAAACCCAAGTTCAGACATGTTATAAATCAGTGACTTAACCAGGTGCCAGTCAGCTTCTATGTGAAAACCCCAGCTTAAAACGTAGTCTCTATCACGGGGTATCTCTGAGCCCAACATGGAAAGTCGCATGCCAACGACAACCACACACTGTTCAATCCAACTTGAAGGTGTGGAAGCTCTCTGTGAGCAGAGCAAGTGTGACCCTGCCAAGATAATCACTGACCTATCTGGCAAAATGAAACGTGCCAGTCTAGGAGGGGTCTAGGGCAGTGACTACACCGTCTCCAGGGCTGCCGGTACACTTTGCAATCTCCTCCTACGAACACTCGGCTGTCTGCCTCCTTTCTTCACTTCAGCAATATTTCAGATCCTCTCCAGGGCACACAATCTTATACCACTTACTTACATATATACTCCTATATATGTCTAAAATAACAATGGTATATGTAGATTTAATTGACTTAATAGATATTTCCTCAGTTGATATACTCTGGTTCTGTCACAAGTTATTTAGTTTTCGCTTTGAGGAAATAATTTAGTTAACTTTCAACTCCTAGCAAGCACTCAAACACATAACCCCATGGAACTGAAATAACAGATATTCTGGGGCAGAAATTAGGAGCAATCTGCAAAAACACATTTGACATCTAAAAACTAAACTACAACTATGCGATTTTCCCCGAGGAGCCATATCAGAACCAGTACAATTGATTTTTTTTTCAGAAGCATTCCTAACCACACCTTCAAAGAGAATTGAGAATTCTCCAAGTGGGGCTGAAGAGATAGCTCAGTGGTTAAGGCCACTGGCTGTCCTTCCACAGGACCTGGGTTCAATTCACAGCACCCACACGGATCTGATAGCCTCTTCAGGACTCACCAGACAAACATGCAGAGAAAATACCCATAGAAAGAAAGAAAGAGGAGGGAGGGAAGGAGGGAGGGGGGGAGAAGGACGGGGGGGGGGAGGAAGGTAGTGAAAATTCATTAAACCAACTTCAGCAAAGCATACCAATCTAAAATTAAAAAACAATATTATATTAAAAAATAGATACCAAAGGTCAAAATGTATTTAAGTCTCAAAAGCAAAGTTAACAATCAGATGCATTTACCCCTGGGCTGGGCTGGGGGCAGTTTATAGAGAACTTAACTCTTTTCCCAGGCCCCCTGAGAAGAATAGCATCCAAATCGAGGGTGCCACTCACCATCTCTGAAGCTGTCTTATCCCCCTATTACGTTTTTAACAACCGCTTATTTGACTTTTTAACTTTTAAAAATTTCACGTGATGAGATGGCTCGGCGGGCGCTTGCCCTCTAATTTGACAAGAGGAGTTTATTCCCGGAACCCACAACGTGGAGGGCGGGAACCAGCTCCGTGCAAACTGACCTCGGACCTCCCTCCACAAGCACCGTGGCCCTTGCTTGCCCCCTAAAATGTAAAACCAATGTATCGAGATCCCAGGAAGGAACAAACCTCCTTTTAAGTGTTAACGTGTTTTACGCCTACTATACTAACGCACTTTAGCCTCATAATCCACAAAGCAAGTGTTCTCATAGCCTCCGTTTTATAGATGAGGAAACTGAGGCTCACGAGGCAGTCTGGAGTTCTAGGGGTGGGGCTCGGCTCTGCATCCCCGGCTTCCTGCCTGCCCACAGGCTGCAAGGCAGACTCGGGAAGCACACACCATGGCCTTGCCGCTTCAGAAGCACACTCAGCTTGGGCAGTAAGACGGCCTTTCCGAAGAGTCCGCCTAGGCCCACCTCCCAGCCAGTGCCTCCGGGTGTCCTTCGGAGGCCGGGCACCCTCCAGTCTGCAGGAGCTGCCGGGGTGTCCAGCGAGCGGCCCACCGGCGCGAGTTCCCCGGGCCAGGGATGCCGAGGGCAGGCCGGCAGGGATCCCGTAGGATGGTACCCGACAGGTTCCCGGGGTGACGCTCCCGAAGAGGGGGGTCCCTGGGCGGGGTCTCGGGCGAGGGTCCCCGCTGCTCTCACCTTCCGACAGCTCCAGCTCCAGCTCCGCCAGGCTCTCGAGCACCTCGGCGGGCAGCGGCGCCGCCTCCAGAGGGCATCCGCGGTCGGCCATGGCCGGTGGCTGAGACGTTCCCACCCCCGGGGCCTGCAGACCCGCAGCGGCTGCCCGCAGCCGGCAGCGGGCGGGGCGCGGCCGGGGCTGCTGCTCCCAGACGCGGGCACGAGCGCGGGCGGCTCCGGCTCAGGAGCGCGCCGGAGACGCGCGTGCGCGGCTGAGGGGCGGGGCAACGCTTGCGCGGGTACATCGGGCCGGGCTCCGCCCAGCAACTCTAAAGTCTCTCTTCCATTGGCCAATAAGCCACGTCGGGGAATCTGGGAGCCTTACTCCCTTTAGGGGCGCTAGAGGAGCAGTGGGCGGGAGAGATGGACCCCCACAGTCAACTGACTTCAATGTCGCCCGGGTGACCCTCCTGTGGTTCCCCAGCCTCTTCCTCCTCAGGAACCCTGCTGGCACGCTTAACTCCTGCTATGATATCAGCAACTCCTTCTGGCATTTTTCTCCCGCCTTAAAGTGTGTTTGCTTACTGCTTTTCACAATAACCCTGGAAGCACTCTGGCATTGGCCAAGAAGGATCTCCAGGAGTGTCTCAGACCTTGAGATGACCTTGGGACGTGGAAGCATAGACATGACATGTTGGAACCTCAGGAGAATTTTTGAAAGTGCTGTTCCCAGAGCCGGGGACAGACTGATAGCCTGGCGTAGGTGTCATCCCAGACTTTGCCACGGGTCCTATCCTGGTACAGACCTCGTCGCCTAAATGAACAGAGTAGGAGAACAAAAGTTTGGCCTTGGAGTTCAAACTGAAAGTCTAAAGAGCTGTACTTCTGTTTCAAAGATCTAGCCGGGCCCTTTAGTTCCTCTCAGGTAGCAATTACAAGTAGGTGAGTAGGATCTCTTCTAGAGTTAATAGTGGGCCTTAGAGTGGTGATGATTTATGACAGACTCTCAAGGCTCCAAGCTCTGAGAACTAGAAACTTAACCTCCAGGCTTTTAAAGCATGAGGCATAGCTCTAGGTGCCTGGTTTAGAGGTTTTGTTATGATAAAGTGTGGGGAACCCTGGCAGATCCCATGGCAGGCGAGGGTGACCGAGGCGGAGGGACAAACACGCCAGGCAGACAGCACTTAAGTGAGGGGAGTGGGGTGGAAAGGAATGGGGTGGGGGTGGGAAAGAAAAGAGGTAAAGAGACACAGAGACAGAGAGAGGACAGAAGAGAAGAGGGAGACAGGAAAAGTCCTGCCTGCCCCAGGGGAACAGCAGGAAAGGGGGCGTGTAAGTGGGTGGGGGTCTTTCTTTTAAAGGGGTCCTTTGCACCTGCATGCAGACTAGTAGTCATGGAACTCTGGGCTGACCAGGGTAGTGCCTGAGTGCGTTCTGCCGGGTGACAGGGCAGGCCAGCATAATGCCGGAATCCTTACAGGTTTGATGCTCTGGGTTTCCATCGCCAGTGGCCAGTAGCTAATGAAATCATAGCAACAACAGAGGTCAGCACCAGCTACTGTCAGGACTCACTAAACCTTGGACTTTAGGACCCTCGGCCTTTCCAGCTGCTTAATGTTGTTCCCAACATTGAGCGTGAAGACTGTCTTCATTTCTTGGCGGTTCCCAGAGACTCTCCCAGCCAAAGACGCCTGCTTTCTCTTACTTACTGCTTTTCTCAATCTTGCCAGCCTCCTCCTCTACACAATTCTCTCTAGTACTCTTTACCCACCCTCCTGCCACTGTCTACCAGATCATCCAGCCCTCTCTACAGGCGTTCAAAACCCCAGGCCGGCAACAACACTGAGACCATTTTGGAGGAGTTTAGTGGGCCGAACATTACATCATCAGGAACAGGCATAGGAAGGAAGGTATCCCCAGCTGACTAATCTGGTTATACAGCCAGGATGGGTGGTATGCAAACGAGCGACTCTTTGTTTACACCAATCACCGGCCCATAGAGGAACCAGTCACACGTTTTGCATGAAAATTGGTCAACAGTCCCACACTTCTCCAATCACTGGTTTCTTCCTACGCAAGTGGCCCCTCTGTCTCCTTGAGTGAGTATGGCTGCTGAAGTTCACTGAAGCTTGTGAAAAAGCACCTGGGATTTGGCCTTTCGAAGCTGGTGCGGATTGTCTGGGGTGGTTGTGACCAGAGGAGGCTACTGGAGCCAGTATCCTGGCTCCTGGCTCCAGTATCCTGGATTCAATTGCAGCAGATTATCTTGCTGCTGGAGTATTTTCATAGTGATTGTCATGTATGCAAAACAGCCAGACTTGAAGGCGTTCCAGCAGGTGACTAGGGAAGGGGCTGTCCCTCACTCCAGGCTGCCAGGCATGAGGGAAAGATCTGCTTGCCCTTCAAAGACTTCGATTTTAGTTATTCACATAGAAACAAAAACCGTTTACAATAAAGATTTAAACTGGACATCTTAAACTGCATTTAACATGATTTCTGTAAGGCTGATTTTATGGATGAGTGCTTCCCCTGTGTGTATGTCTGGGCACCACAAGCGTTGCAGTACCCAAGGAGGCCAGAGAGGGTGTGCGACGCTCTTCAACTGCCAAGACTGTTCTTAGCCACAATACGGGTGTTAGGAACCAAACCTGGGGCTTCTCCAAGAGCATTCTTAACTGCTGAGCCATCTCTCCAGCCCCCCATTTATCTAATTTTAAGTGTTTAGCCACTACTTTAGGGCTCTAGGGAGAGTTGGGTCCCTCTGTTTTTCTCTGCAGCTCAACAGTCTGAACGAAGTTTTGCCTAGAAAACATGTACTTTACCCCTTTCTCTCCCACACCTGCCTTCTGCTTTTCACAGCTGCTGATGCCAGATAAGCATCCTGTATCCCAAACTCTATCTCAGCATCCATTTCTGGAGAGATCACTGTTGTTGCTTCTTTTTTACTTTTTTGTTCCTAGTTCTTTGGTCTTTGGGCTCTTGTGGGAACCAGCCACCCAGCTCCCAAATAAATCACACATGGAGGCTTATTCTTAATTATAAATGCCCTGCCTTAACCTGGCTTCTTTCTAGCCAGCTTTTAACTTAAATTAACCTGTCTACCTTTTGTCTCTGGGCTTTTTCCTTTATTTACTTCTGCATATCTTACTTTCACTCTTACTTTGTGGGTGGCTGGGTGGCTGGGTGGCCGGGTGGCTGGGTGGCTGTCTGGCTGGGTGGCTGGCTGGCTGGCTGGGTGGCCGGGTGGCTGGCTGGCTGGCTGGGTGGCTGGGTGGCTGGGTGGGTAGCTGGGTGGCTGGCTGGGTGGCTGGGTGGCTGGCTGGGTGGCTGGGTGGCTGGCTGGTTGGCTGGGTGGCTGGCTGGGTGGCTGGGTGGCTGGCTGGTTGGCTGGGTGGCTGGGTGGCTGGCTGGGTGGCTGGCTGGCTGGCTGGCTGGGTGGCTGGCTGGGTGGCTGGCTGGTTGGCTGGGTGGCTGGGTGGCTGGGTGGGTGGCTGGCTGGTTGGCTGGTTGGCTGGCTGGCTGGATGGCTGGGTGGCTGGATGGCTGGGTGGGTGGCTAGGTGGCTGGATGGCTGGCTGGGTGGCTGGCTGGGTGGCTGGGTGGCTGGGTGGGTAGCTGGGTGGCTGGCTGGGTGGCTGGCTGGGTGGCTGGGTGGCTGCTGGCTGGGTGGCTGGCTGGCTGGGTGGCTGGCTGCTGGCTGGGTGGCTGGCTGGGTGGGTGGCTGGCTGGCTGGGTGGCTGGCTGGCTGGGTGGCTGGGTGGCTGGGTGGCTGGGTGGCTGGCTGGGTGGCTGGCTGGTTGGCTGGGTGGCTGGCTGGCTGGGTGGCTGGCTGGCTGGGTGGCTGGGCGGCTGGTTGGCTGGGTGGGTAGCTGGGTGGCTGCTGGGTGGCTGGGTGGCTGGCTGGGTGGCTGGGTGGCTGCTGGCTGGGTGGCTGGCTGGCTGGGTGGCTGGCTGGGTGGCTGGGTGGCTGGCTGATTGGCTGGGTGGCTGGATGGCTGGGTGGCTGGATGGCTGGGTGGCTGGCTGGCTGGGTGGCTGGGTGGCTGCTGGCTGGCTGGCTGGGTGGGTGGCTGGGTGGCTGGCTGGCTGGCTGGGTGGCTGGCTGGTTGGCTGGGTGGCTGGCTGGCTGGGTGGCTGGCTGGGTGGCTGGCTGGGTGGGTGGCTGGCTGGCTGGGTGGCTGGGTGGCTGGGTAGCTGGGTGGCTGGGTGGCTGGCCTCTAGCATCCTCCCTTCCTTGTTCTTGCTCCTTCCGCTCTTATTTATTCTCTCTGCCTGCCAGGCCCACCTATCCTTTCTCCTGCCTTGCTATTGGCTGTTTAGTTCTTTATTAGACCATCAAGATGTCTTAGATAGGCAAAGAATCACAGCGTCACAGAGTCAAACAAATGTAGCATAGCCTAGTTGGTGGTGCACATTCCTTTAATCCCAGCACTTGGGAGGCAGAGGCAGGCGGATCTCTGTGAGTTCGAGAGACCAGCCTGGTCTACAAGAGCTAGTTCCAGGACAACCTCCAAATTCACAGAGAAACCCTGCCTCAACAAAACAAAAACAAGAACAACAACAACAAAAAAAAAACCAAACAAACACACCCAAAATACAAAAAACAATGCATCTTTACATCATTAAAATCATTAAACAAACATTCCACAGCATAAACAGATGTTAACACACCTTAAAATAACATTCTACAACAGGTCGTGCCGCTGCAGTTAATGCCAGAGGTGAAATGGGTTTGAAGCAGATTCAGTCGTCAGCACAGACAGGTGGAAGGTGAGCCAGTTGCCTGGACATACAGCGGCTGTAATGTCAAGCACATACAGGAACTATAGGGAAGGTAATGGGAGCCGTCCGTACTCTGGACCTCTTAATAAAAAACGATAGCAAGCAACAGACAATTATTAAGAGCCAAAGCCCTATGAAACTGCATGCCAAAACCAAAAAGCAAACAGGCAAAAATAGTCTTTTGCAGCAGGACTATCCCTGAGTACCTCCAAACACACGCTGAAATGAAACAATCCTCTTGGTTGGGAAAAGCTGGGCCTGTGACACACGGGTTGCAAGATACGCACATATGTATTTTAAAAGATTTTGACCCCTGAAACTACCTGGATATTTTAGAGCTCATCCACAAACTTGTTTCCTAATTAAGCCCAGCTTTCCTCCTCCTACCTCAAGAATCTGTGATAATTAATTTTGACTGTCAGTTGGGCAGGACCTGGAGTCG